GAGTCCGCAGAGCGCACCCGTCCCGGTCGCAGTAAAAACCGGAAGTTGAAGTCCCAGTTTCCAGTGGGAACAGACACTCTGCCAGGAGCTGAGAATGATTTGTACCACATGCCACAGGGTAAGTTTCCTTGGCCTGGACTAGGGGAAGCAAAAGGTTCCTTGGAGGCTTGCGAATATTCACTTTGAATGTTCATAAAGCCTTAACTATTTCAGGGTGTAGAAACAACCTTGATTTAAAAGGGGGGGGGGGGGAGAATGTAGAACCTCTGATCCAAGTGCTGACTGTGGTTGATGGAACCACATACGAAGACAATTCACAGTCATATTTTTTATTTTTTTATTTTTTTTATTTCTTACTTCTTATCTTTCTTACCTATTCTTCACCACAAAGTCCCAAAGCAGGTTACGATATACAGTCCACAGGCATAAGTCTATTGTTTGTTTGCCTTCTGTGCCTTCACATCAGAGGTTCTTGTTTAAGTGAGGTGTTGTGTCTTAAAGCTGTAGAAGAGGACTTTTTTCTTTTCTTTTTTTACAATGGTTTGCTGCCTACATAAAATGATACAGCAACAACAACACACAAAAAATCCAGTACAGATCATTACGCAGAATATGGCTCAGGTGATTTTCATAAAACATACATTTTAAATCTATTATCTGAGTCAGTAACCAGTGATTATGGCTTGGTAAATCCCATTGTGACAGAAGGTGATAAATAATTACAGTCAATGTCACCATGCAAATTGCAATATCGTCCGTGGCATATACAGATAACATGATGCATGGCTATGTCATTTGTAAGAGAAAGCAATTGAGATTTGCATCTCTCTTCCCCCCACCCAACCTCTCTTTTCGTAGGACAACCGATTATAAACCCACAGATTCCCTCTCAGACAGATATTAGAAAACTAGTCTAATACCCTTATTCCCCCCCCCCCCCAAATTACACTACACCCGACATACTATTTCTCTGATCATTTTTGGAACTGTGCCCATTGACTTTCCTAGAGGAAATGGACTGAGCATAGTTGGGAACAGCTGCAGCTGGCTTCACACAAGGAAACTGTTTAATAGTTGATGTTCCCAAATTCTGATTGCAATCATAATTCAGAATCAGTTTGGGGAGTTGCATGCATAGCTATGTATCCTCAGAGCCAGCCCAGGACATTTTTTTGTATCTGAGGTGAACCACAACATGTGTCAGCATCGTCCTTGCCCCCCACACCATGCAAGCTGACTAGGACCTTTGCCCCTTTTGTACTCCAAGCACTCAAAAGCCCCCAGCCAGCATGGCCAATGATCAGGGGTGACGTGACACCAAAGAGTCAATGTTGCGTAGTGGCTGGAGTGATGGGCCTGGGCCTGGGAGACGAGGGCTAAAATACTCACTCAGCCATGAAGCTCATTGGGTGACCTTGGGATAATCTCTCTCTCTCTCTCTCTCTCTCTCTCTCTCTCTCTCTCTCTTCCTAAACCTACCTCACAGGAATGTTGTGGGAATTAAATGATAAGGGGTAGAAGATATGGACACCACCTTGAGCTCCTGGGATTAACAGGTAGAGTATAAAGGCAATAGATCAATATGGATCCGAGTTGAGGAGGCACCAAAGGCAAAAATGAAGCAGCAGGTGGGTGGGGGAAGAAGGAAGGCAAACAAGCGAGGGAATGGATGGGCAAGGAAGGAGGAGGTGATGGGCAGGCAAAAGACCAAAATGCTGCCCTAATGCTGATTTACATGGTGGGGGGTGCTGTCATTAGCAACAGAATCCTTCTGAGATTTGCATTTCTTTCTGCACCATGATTTCATCATTTTAAAAGCCCAAGTCTCCAGAGTTTCCACTGCTGGACATCCAAAAGAGACCAGGAGAATTACACTCTGATACTTCTTTTTTGTGGAAGAGTAACAACAATGGGCATAACTACTCCATTTGGTATCTTTTTCCAGACCATTTTAGCAATTGAGTCCGCCATTGCCTTTTTAGGAAATGGATTTATCATAGCTGTGAAAGGACAGCGATGGCTCCAAAACTGGAAAATGGCCCCTTGCGACTTCCTCTTGACCAGTTTGAGCATCTCCAGAATTCTGTTGCAGTTGACGGCCATGGTGAGTTACCTTCTGTACTACAACTCTCCATTGAGCTATATGCGTATTTATGATCAGATTTGCACATTTCTGTGGCTGTTTCTCAGCCATGTCAGCCTCTGGTGTGCCGCATGGCTCAATATCTTCTACAGTGTGAAGATCACCAACTTCCCCCACCACCTGTTCCTCTGGCTGAAACTAAGGATTGATGTACTTGCACCCAGGCTGCTCGGAATGGTGGTAATAACTCTCATGCTCTTCTCTGTTCATCCAACCATTCTTTATTTTGAAAACAAGAAGGCCTGCAATCTCTCAGGAACTCTGACATGGAATGCCAGTCTCAGCATGGTTTGCCATAATCCATTCTTTGTTTTTAGAACTCTACAGTTATGTTCTTTATGCATGAGTTTCATTCTCAGTGTAACGGCATCCATGGTTTTACTCATCTCCCTTTGGAGGCACAGAAAGAATCTAAAAAAGGGTGGCTCTGCCATTAAGGACCTCAGCACTCAGGTCTATCTCAATGTCATGAAGTCTTTGCTATTCTCTCTGTTCTTCAACGTTACTTATTTTGTTTCTTTAATCATTCCTATGTTTAGTCTGTACAGGAATGGCACAAATGGCCGATTAGTTATTGATATTGTGCTGTCTGCAGTCCCTTCAGCACATACCATGAGCTTAATATTGTCCAATCCAAAACTGAAAGAAATCTTAATGCACATTCTACACATCAGACAAAGGGCTAAATAAAGAGAAGAGGGCTGTGGATATGCTTCCCTTGACTCCAAGAAGACAAGATTCTCCCTCTCCCCCCCCCCCTCAGCCTCAGATGTACTGCCTGCTGCTCCTTTTTTAAAAATAATAACAATAAGATCTTCATAATACGATAACATAAAAAAGGAATCTATGTAAAAAGAAAAACAGAGAAAAATAAAGAAAAGAAAATATGGATTCCTCTCAAAAGTAGGTCTTAACTCTTGTCTTACACAGATCGTGGTGGACCCTCCCAGCTCTGACCTGGGAGCTTTCCTTTCTTCTCCTCTTCTCTCATCTAGGGAGAACTTCCCTTCCCTATCTCTCCATCTACTACCTACATGTAGCAAAGGCATCTTCCTCACTGCAAGAAGTGAAATTAAAATGAACTAGGCAGAAGGCCTTTATGGTAGTCGCACCCACCCTGTGGAACATCCTCCCAACAGATTTTGAAGAGAAAAGAACTATATAACTTTTTGTAGACATCTGAAGGTAGCCCTGTTTTGGGAAGCTTTTAATGCTCAATGAGTTTTTGTTTTTCTTTTCCTCTGTCAAGGGAAGCCATTCAGAGTGGCTGGGGCAACCTAATGAGAAGGGCAGGATATAAGAAATTGATGATGATGATGATTACTGCTGCTACTACTACTGCTTCTACTATGGCTCACCTCAAATGCCTGCCCATGAGGCAACCCCAACAGCATCTCACAAATACTTCATTGACCCATCTGCTCTTCTACAGTAGTTCAGTAGCATTTCCTATCCATGGGGTCGAAGGCTGTTTCACGTTTAACATGGCAGCCCAGGAACATCATTGTAGCAAAAACATTAGCCACCGTGGAGACAAAAGGTGTGAATAGGAGGGGCACATATGTTGAGTAATATTTAGTGCACAAATTGCCCAGTGGAGACTGAAGAAACTGGCAGAACAAAGAGGAAGGGTATTGGCGAGGCGAGGATGAAAAGAGCTACAATTCCTATTTTATCCCAATTTTGAAAAATACTGTGGGAGACTTCCGGGTTGGCGCCATCGATAATGGCGGATTCCCTCTGAGTCTCTGAGGGACCAGCTCCGCGGGATCGGGTCTTACCGCTGCGGCGAAGCGGGGGCCCTTTAAAAATCACAGGCGGGCGAAGCCTGTGAATGTGGGGACTCGGCGGGCACCTTTTGCGCCCCCCCCCAAGTTGCGAAGGGACCCTTTTAAGGGCTCCGGAGCGGGACAGGGTGAGTGGCGCGGTGCTGAGAGTCGACTGCTTCTTCCGCGGAGTGAAGCCGCATAGCCATTATCGGAGAGCGCTGACTTTTTCCTGGGACAATTTGACTTTGAAAGCAACTACCCGTGAGTAGGATTAAATTGAATTTAAAGGGAAAAAACAAGTTAATTCGGCACCGAAGCGGGAAGGTATAAACAGGAAGTCTGCCTTCCTTTTTTGTAAATAGATCAAAGCAAAGAGACTGTAAGCGGAAACTCGGAAAGACGTTTGAAAAAAGACTTAAATCTTAACATCTGGAAAGAGATCTCCCCTCCGGATTGCAGGAGAAGAGGGGGGGAAAGGCTTGAACCGTATTTATCTGCAAAACAAGGGGAAAGGGAAGTTAAAATCCACCGCCTAAAACCTGGGAATGGACTGCCCTGAGATAAGGAATGCCGTTCTGTGGAAAGCCTATTGGTAAGCAGAGGACTTTTGACAGCTAACTCTGCAAAAGAGATACAGTGTTTCTGAACTTCTCCTGGCTTTAAAGTAACTGATTAAGTGCAACTGAAACTGTTGTTTTTATGTGAATTGGGGACTTATAAGGACTATTTTCTTTTTTTAAAAGTTGCAAGCTTTGGCTGTTACTGTGTCCCCCTAGAGGAGGCTTGACATTGCTACAATAACAACTGGGCTAGAGGGATTTTCCATTTCAAAACAAATTTCCAGCCGTGGGATCGACCTTGAATTCTCATGAGAGTGTTATGGCAGATGGAAGAGGAAAGTTAGAGTTGGCACAGGAAAAAACTACTAGGTCTGGCAGACCCTATCGGACAGATACTGCGTTGCAGCGAAGGGCTTCAACATCTGGACCATCTGGAATACCAGGGGCTGCACCTCCACAGGTTAAACCTTTTTAGGAAATGGATTTATCCTAGTTGTGAATGGGCACCGATGGCTCCAAAACAGGAAGATGGCCCCTTGCGACTTCCTCCTGACCCGTTTGAGCACCTCCAGAATTCTGTTGCAGCTGACCATCATGATAAATAATATTCTGTACAACAGCCTTCCAGAGAACTATACAGGTACTATTACACGAGATATTGGCACATTTTTCTGGTTATTTTTTAGCCAAGTTAGCCTCTGGTGTGCCACATGGCTCAACATTTTCTACTGTGTGAAGGTCACCAACTTCCCCCATCGCCTCTTCCTCTGCCTGAAGCTAAGGATCAATGTACTTGCACCCAGATTGTTTGGAATGGTGATAATAGCTCTCATGCTCTTCTTCTCTGTTCCTTCAACCATTCTTCATTTTGAAAACAAGAAGGCCTGCAATCTCTCAGGAACTCTGATACACAATGCCAGTCTCAGCAAGGTTTGCCACGACCAATTCTTTGTTTTTAGAATTCTACAGTTATGTTCTTTATGCATGAGTTTCATTCTCAGTGTAACGGCATCCATGGTTTTACTCATCTCCCTTTGGAGGCACAGAAAGAATCTAAAAAAGTGTGGCTCTGTCATTAAGGACCTCAGCACTCAGGTCTATCTCAATGTCATTAAGTCTTTGTTGTTCTCTCTGCTCGTTGACATTACGTGTTTTGCTTCTTTACTCATTCCTGTGGTTCGATTTTTCAGGTATGGGACAAGTGGCCAATTACTTTTTGAGATTGTGCTGTCTGCACTCCCTTCAGCACACACCATGATCTTAATATTGTCCAATCCAAGACTGAAAGAAATCTTAATGCACATTCTACACATCAGACGAAGTGCTACATAAAGAGAAGAGGGCTGTGGATATGTACCCCTTGAATCCAAGAAGACAAGATTCTCTCCCTCCCTCCATCCCTCTCTCTCTCTAACTTTCCTCTGATGTACTGTCTGCTGTTTTTCATAATACAACATAATACAATGTAATACAATGACAGGGAGGAATGTGACCAATTTATCAGAAATTGAGTGGCTACTTCTGGTGAAACAGAATTACCTAGATTTCAAGCACTGTAAAATTTATACACACAGCAAAAAACAACAACAACAACACCCCAAACTGGTTGCTCATTGAAGTCTCAGTACTTGAACAACATGACACCTGGTTCTCTCATTAGTAATAGAATCCTACTGAGATTTGCATTGTTTCCACATCATGATTTCATCATTTTAAAAAGCCCAAGTCTCCAGAGTTTCCACTGCTGGACATCCAAAAGAGACCAGGAGAATTACACGCTAATGCTTCTTCCACTGAGGCATTTTTGACAGAAATTAACAACAATGGGCATAACTACTCCACTTGCTATCTCTTTGCAGACCATTGTAGTAACCGAGACCGCTGTTGCCTTTTTAGGAAATGGATTTATCCTAGTTGTGAATGGGCACCAATGGCTCCAAAACAGGAAGATGGCCCCTTGCGACGTTCTCTTGACCAGTTTGAGCACCTCCAGAATCATGTTGCAGCTAACCATGCTGACAAATATAATTCTACACTGCAATGCTGCAGAGAGCAATATGCGTGCATATGGACGAGATATTGGCACATTTCTCTGGATATTTCTTAGCAACATCAGCCTCTGGTGTGCCGCATGGCTCAATATCTTCTACTGTGTGAAGGTCACCAACTTCCCACATCACCTGCTCCTCTGGCTGAAGCTAAGGATCGATGTACTTGCACCCAGACTGCTCGGAATGGTGATAATAGCTCTCATGCTTTTCTCTGTTCCTCCAACCATTCTTCATTTTGAAAACAAGAAGCTCTGCAATCTCTCTGGAACTCTGACAAGGAATGCCAGTCTCAGCAAGGTTTGCCAAAACCCATTCTTCATCTTTAGAACTCTACAGTTATGTTCTTTATGCATGAATTTCATTCTCAGTGTAACGGCATCCATGGTTTTGCTCATCTCTCTTTGGAGGCACAGAAGGAATCTCAGAAAGAGTGGCTCTGTCATTAAGGACCTCAGCACTCAGGTCTATCTCAATGTCATGAAGTCTTTTTTGTTCTCTCTGCTCGTTGATATTACGTACTTTGCTGCTTTAATCCTTCCTGTAGGCAATTTTTTCAGGTATGGCACATATGGCAATTTAGGTTTTGTGATAATGCTGTCTGCAATCCCTTCAGCACATACCATAATCTTAATATTGTCCAATCCCAAACTGAAAGAAATCTTATTGCGCATACTAAACATCAGATGTGTGGCTTCATAAAGAAAAGAGGGCTGTGGACACGCATTTCTTGTATCAAAAAAAACCACCAAAACTCCCCCCATCTCTTTAATATTTGTCTGAGATATACTAGCTGCTCCTGCGAAACCTGCCCTGAGGTTTATTCCTTCCTAGAAATCCAACCTATCATTATTTACGCAGCTGCTTCCTTTTGTCAATCATTACTAATGAGTAGGGGGGGAATAAAATATTTATTCATTCTTCCATTTATTAACAAATTCATTCATTTTGTATAGATCTTCAGAACATTTTTTTAGAGCAGTTTAAGACAATGCCTTGAGTCAGCACTTTGCCTGAATATATATTTATTTGTTGGTGAGGAACATCAAGCAACAGGGAAAAACCTACTTATAGATCAGAAATGCTTGATGATTTCTATGATCCATGATTGGTCATCAAATACCAGAAAGGAACCTCTGTGAACAACATTTGGGATTGTCATGATGTCTCGCATACCATTTCAGAAGAAGAAGAAGAAGAAGAAGAAGAAGAAGAAGAAGAAGAAGAAGAAGAATTGTTTTTGTATGTGGAAAGATGGATATTGTACACTTGACTTAGTGAGCTATTATTTCTACATTGTAATATAAGCCTAGATAAATGTATGTTTATTCATTTGCTCTTATGCAGCTAATGTTTTATCTCTTTTTATGAAAAGAAATTGATAGCTCAGTTGGAAGAGCATGAGATGGTTGCGCCCTCCCTGGATCTCTAACCCACACCCCAGCTTATGCACCCCAGGGGGTCACTTCGGTGCTGCTAACGTAGCGTTTTGACTTCACCTCGCCCCCCACTTCAAAAGGCACAGTCCATTCTCTCTCGAGACAGACAGATGCCAGCCACATTCTTTTTATGAACAATCTTCTCTATTTTAGGTTCAAAGGTGGTTTGCCTTGGAATGGGAAAAACTGCACATACCCTCTACTGGAATGCCCCATCCAGATTCATGCCTTTAATAGGATGCCCTGCTTTGTCAGTGACAGCCTGGAGGCTGAAAAGTGATGTGAGGCACTAGCAGGGGAACCTGCAAGGGAACCCCAAAGGGAAGAGAACTTAGAGCCAGGGAATTGGTGGTGGGATGACAATGTGTGGTCAGAAGGAGAAGAGGGAGTAAAGTAGGAGGAGGAGGTGTTGGAAGCTGAAGAAGTAACAGGGTTTAGTGAGCAGGAAGAGGCTGTGGGAAAGAGTAATCCTGAATGAGAGGCAGAAGAGGAGGCTGGAGAGGAGAGGGTCAAGAGGCAGCAGTAAGTCAGGCCGCTAAAGAAGCCAGGGAGTCTCCCCCTCTTGCTGTGACCAGCTTCTTCTGGTCTCCCAGAACCCAGGGAGGTATGAAGAGCGTGGAGCAGAGAAGAACAAGGCAGAGGATTCTCAGGTTCCTTGGGAAAGACTCTGGGAAGGAGGAGATTGGAGAGCTGAGGGAAGGCAGGGACCTTCACCCCCCCGCAACTGCTTCATTTGGGGATTGGAGAAGAGTTGCTGGGCTCACTAGGCCTGAGCTGTTCTGTTTCCTTGAATAAAGAGTTAACTTCACTGGCACCGGCTGTTTTATTTCTGACTTCCCCCTGGCTCCTGCCTTCACGTGGTGCTGCTACCACCACTTCAGACAGTGGCCATGGCAATCCCACCACGTAAAGCAGCAGTGGTGAAGGAATGGGTTTCCCAAACCCAAAACTGACTGTGCAGTCAGTCTGAAACGGGCCCCCCAAAACCCCCATTTTTCCATCTCCAAGGGAGCATTTCTAAAATGCATTAACTTGAGCTTTTCAAGCTCAGGAAGCTTGAGCTTGAGTCAATGTATAAACAGAAAGCCAGCTGTATAAACAAGTGCTCAAAGCTCTCTCCTTTATCAGTCCATGATGGCAAGGGATGAACTTGTCAGTTCCAGAGTGGAGCAGGGATGAGACATCTGGGTCTTATCTTACGTTCTGACCACACTGACGTACAGACCTTGTCAGCCACCCAGGAACGGCGCCAGGAGCGCTCTTATAGTTGGTGACCTCTTGCTCCAAGATAAGAGTATAGGAACAAGAACAGGAACACCCTTTTATGGTCAAAGAGTGCAGGAACAGGAAAACCCTTTTATGGTTAAGAGTACCGGCAGGAACATCTGTGATGTCAGCTTGCGTGTATAAGCTGACATGGATGGATTCCTGGGGAAGGGGGGAGAGGGTGCCTGGAGGATATATATACTGCATGAAATTTCTCATTTCTTTGGACTTGCTGTGGAAGGTCACGCAAGTGCCTTCTGCTATCTGGAGAGCAGAATAAAATCTTTCTCTGAACCAAACCTCAGTGTCATTTGACTTCCTTTCTCTCTCCCGGGAGCAACGCAGACCCCACCAGTCGGTATAGTCTAATAAGGCTACAGTGGGGCAGCAGCTCCCTCCTCTACTTCTTCCTCTGTGCCATTTCTCTCAGGTGTCTCCCAAAGTAGCTGCTTCATCCCATGTCATTGTTGTGCCAGCTCTGTTTTCCCTAATGGATGAGGCCAACCCAAATAGCTGTCTTGAGAACTGTGAGACAGTTCATATACAGAAATCTATGGAGGTTTGAACAGAAAAGCTTTGAGTAAGTGTGTGAATGCTCCAGGTTCTGAATTACTTCCAAGAGCTGCCTAAGAAGCTTAATATCTCCAGGCCCGGGACTGACAAGTGAACCTGACATTCCTGTATCCTTTTGTTGCCGTTCAGCCCTGACATCTGGCTTACTATTCGGTCCTGCTTCCTAGATATCCCTTGGCTCTAAATGGCTTTTTTTTTTTTTTGGTCCTGACTTCTTACTTGCTCTCAGTCCTGGTTTCCCCTTTGGTTCCCTTGACTCCCAAGGCTTCAATCCATGGCTCACCTAAGATTTCTCCCCATGACGCAGCCCCAAAGCATCTCACAAATACCTCATTGATTTAGTTGCTCTTCTACTGTAGTTCAGTAGATTATCCTATCCACGAGGTTTAACATTTCACATTATCACAAGTTGGGAGGTCACTTATGGTGAAACAGAATTACAGTGGAACCTCGGTTTTCGAGCATCTCAGCTGCTGATCGTTTCAGAAGCCAAACACTGAAAGCCCAGAAGTAAATGCTTCCGTTTTCGAACAGGACTCGGAAGCCAAACAGATTCTGAGGTGCGTTTCTCATTTTTCTCCATATCATATCCTATCCATGAGTTGCCAGCTCAGGGGCAGAGGTAGGAAGGTGTGCTAGGGGCGGTCCGTCCCGGGTGTCACCACTAAGGGGGGGGGGTGACAAAGTGCCGGGCGCCACTCATCACTGGGCCAGCAGCACACCCAAGTCACACATCTCTTTTGGGTGTGACGCGGTGGCTTGGGGGCCAGCAGGCTCCGCTCTGCCCTAAATGGTCTGCCCACCGCCTCCCCCTCAGCTGTAGGGCGGCTGAGTGGGAGGAGGCAGGCAGACTCCTCGGAGGCCCCATGGAGCATCCTGCCCTGGCTTGCCCCACCCCATGGGCGGCTGGCCCACCCCCAGGCGCACCACCCCAGGTGCCCGATCGGCCTGCTCTGCCGATGTGCATGCTATTTCACATTTAACATTATCACAAGTTGCAAGGTTG